TTGTTTTCTGTATCTTCAATCCATAGTTCACATCTTGGGCATTTCATTCTGCTGATAAGTGTACATTATGTCTTCTTACAATTGGTGTTTAGCGCTTTCGCTTTCCTTTACTACCTTCTTCAGTAGTTTTTGTCATTTCCTTCCTAGATCTGCTACCAACACTGTCATCTACATATCTTATGTTGTTAAGATTATGGCCGCCAATAATGAATCCTGGTAGAACTTCTAATTCTATCAGTATATGTTATTGACAATATCTAATATCCTTCTCAAATAAATCAAGTTTACCTAACATGTGACGTAATTTAACAATCATTTTTGCATAATCTATAAAACATTGGTACTGGTCCTTAATGGTCGTGACCAGAGTTGCCTAGCTAGAATTGCCTGTATTAATTAACAAACCATTGCCATATTAATGAACAAACGATACAATGAATGACGTGGTAAATGCATATCTAGCACGTTAATCCAAACTTCTTAAGTTTTTTATTGAATGAGGAAACAGCAGACCCCCGAGTATACAAAGCGCTTTATTTGAGAATGTGATATTGCTAATTGAATCATGGCAACGTGTGGGGTAATCGATGTGTCATTGTCTCAGTTGGTTCGAGCAGACATTAACACAGATCTCATGATGTCATGGATCTCATTTGTCAACATGCAAATGGTGTAAAGTGGTTTCATCTGGTATATATTGGTTTTGCTGGTTCGCCTAGAGATACCATTGACAGGTATCCTATAAATGGTAACCATTTGAACTAATTCATAAATTTCAAGTACTTGCAAAAATGGTATGTTATTCCAACAGGATAATGCACCTTGTCATCATTGCCCAGAAATTAGTTAATAACACACTAGAAGCTTCCCGCGAATAGTGTGGCCACCAAGTTCACCTGACACCTCAGTTGAGCATTTATTGGACGTGGTGAAAAAGTCTCTTTCCATGTTTGACACAACTCTGACAAATATTAGGTACTATTGAGAACGCATGGCTTAACATCTCTACAACAGTATTCCGTTCCCTTGTGAAATTGATGCCACATCGAATTTCTCCGTTTTGGGTTATTTTTAAATAGAGAAGCTCCTTCATAATATCAGGTACTGAATACAACATTTTTTACACGTCAATGCATATAACTTTATGAAACATACATCGTAAGAAATAATTAAATAAAATAACTATACGAAAAATATCTAGAAAATTCATAAAAATAACTTTATTAAAATGCAAAGTACATAATAAATATTATTTAGTTAAATGATTATCATTATCTCTAGTCGAGGAGTCGGTAATCTACAAAACGCATGGCACGCGTGCCACGCCAAGCAATTTCCAAGCCACAAGTGACATCACGAATTGCAAACCAATAACTACTACAGCGCATAGAAGATATTTAGCTGTTTGAATTTTAATATATTCTAAAATATATATACTATATATTACTATATATTACTATATAAAATATATTGTAGGACAGATATATTAACCTTGACTTGTATAAAAATACGTATGCTGTTGGGATACTGAATGATTTTAAAACCCTAAGTCGGCACACATAGTTAGCAAAAGGTTGCCGATCCTTACGTGGGAAGCATTCCCAGTTAAAGAATATTGCATAGGAAAATCTAATTTATGCATTAGTTTATACATACAGTTTTGAATTCAGGGTTTTCCTTCTCCTAGACCAGTTTCCACCCAAGGATATAGAACCCCAGTCTGTTTTACTATTTATCCATAGCTGGGAGAGAGAAGGGTTCGATTCATATCTTTCCTACTGGTATTAACACGTAAGTGAATGTAATGAACTCGACTGGAATTCGATTCCCCAACCCTTGCTGCAATCCATTACTCTACCGTGCATCCCCAAAATAAATTCCCTATCACAAGATCCCAAATCCCTCGCTGCGTATATATATATATATATATATATATATATATATATATATATTGTTTGTGTGTGAGTGAATAAAACACACACACACACACACATATATATATCCCATAAACACACCTTAAAACTATATTTCTTCATATTCAGCTCCCGATAAACAGTAGAGCACTTTCACTACATTCATAACACATTATGGACATAGAAAAATTTAGTCTTGACTACTCCCTAAAAAACATACCCATCCCATCTCCATCCACAAACACACACACACGTACACACACACACACACACACGCGTACACACAAACGTACACACACACACACACACACACACACACACACACACATATATATATATATATATATATATATATATATTACTATCTTTAAACCGAACGCTACTGTTTATTATAAACCGAGCATTTACTTAAATATTTGTATCTATAAAAAGAACGTATAAAAATGCTTTAAAATAATTTTCGGACTTTGTCCATTTATTATATATATATATATATATATATATATATATATATATATGTGTGTGTGTGTATATATATATATATATATATATATATATATATATATATATATATATATGATGAGATTCGATTTGTCAGGCAAGATACATTTCTTGGGCTCTTCAATGGGACATTTCCCAGTATTCTGAAAACAGTTAGCACGACTGTCACATTTATATTCCACTTCATAAGCTACTAGGCAAAGTGAAGTTCTTCTTCTTCTTCTTCTTCTTCTTCTTCTTCTTCTTCTTCTTCGTATTATTATTATTATTATTATTGATGTGTTTGTAATTGTTATTGTTGTTGTTGTTGTTGCATTTGTCGTTGTTGTTGTTATTATTATTATGCTTCCCTATAGCATATGCCGGTGGTTATTAGAATGAAGTTTATTTTCTGCTCACCTCTCGTGACTTAAGAAAATAAGCCAGTCCTTTTGTTCTTTTCATCGACAGGCAGTATCCAATAATTTTCGGAGTGTCCTTGTTATTCCGAACAGGAACGCTTTTTGTAATTGATCTATCCCTAAATCACAATCCAATATCTGCAAGAATTTTTTTATATTTTATTTATTTATTTTTTGTTTTATGTACCACACTCCAATTTTCCAATGATCACTGGTACTGTTATTACTTTCTTTGCAAATTTTAAAAATATATTATTATTATTATTATTATTATTATTATTATTATTATTATTATGCTTGTCCCCCTCCTTTTCAGTTAATTAGTTCCTTAGTCAATTCGCACGAATGTTATGCCCTGCCAATGCCTCATAAATAATGGATAATTCCGCTTTAAACTGTGTGAAAACACAGAACTGACATATCAGAAACGCTACTTGGTTTCAGTGAGAAAAAGTCAGAAAAGGTGTTTAATTATGTTTCAGTGAAATGGAAAATTTGTCAATTTCAAATCCTTTCATTTGTAGGCCATTACATATGAATAAATTAATTAAATATTTTCAATACAGGTTTCAGCTAGATATTGTTATTATTATTATTATTATTATTATTATTATTGACTAAATGTCGCTTAATTTGTTACAAATCTATTGAGTTCCTGAGATGACAATCGAACTTACTACGTTAGCAGATTGATCTGTCAGATAAGCCACTTACCCACAATTGAGCTGAGTAGACGTTAGTCATGCATATATGAAATGTATGTATGTGTATGTGTCTGTGTGTTTAACGTTCAATTAATGGATGTAAGTTTGCATAACATAATTCTTTTTAACATATGTATAAATTGACCTATATCAACAAGTTTATCACACAAAGAAATGTCAAGAATTGATATGTATTCAAGAAAAGGGGATAATGGAAACACATGCAACGGTAGTATAATGACATGAAGAGTTTTAGACAAAAAAGGCATAAATCAAAATTTGATAGCATATCCACGAACCAGTATCCTATAAATTATAGCATTTGCCAACCAATGGATCCCATCATATGCTTTAATGTAACACATAACGAAATAATAAAACAGAACCAAAGCTTTACAAGGCTCAAACACTGGTGCATATAATATCGACTACCGCATCAGCATACAGTACTCGCCGGCCATCTTAATATCTCGCCTTATTTCTTAATTGAGCCGGTTGGGTCAAAGATAGCAATTAATTTTGCCTTTTTCGCTATTTTGGATGACGTGGAATTCCGTTGGGAAATATTCCCAGACGCTTAATAGATTTTGGGTAACGTTTCAAATCTGCCTCCCACTTCTACCCGATTCCCGCTTCGATTTCGCTGAGACGAAGCGAAAAAAACAAGCTCGAATACTGACCCTAAATGTCTTCTCCGTTTGACGGCTGATTCTGTTATGACCATAATGGCCGATTTGTCTGTTTGCCTCTCATACCTTGTGTTCGGCAAACGTGGCGCCGCTCAACATCAAAGGGGTAGGGAGTTAAAGTTGGGAACGAAAGGCTGGGGTGTGAAAAAATATATTAAAAAACAAAACAAAGGAAAAAATGAAGAGGAATTGTTGTGTTTGAGATATAGAGTGAGGAGCAGGAGAGGCGTGTGAGTGGAAAGCAGATTGACAAAGAAAGAAGAAGCGAGTGAGAAACAGAAGAGAGAGAAAGGACAATAGAGTTGTCTTGTTATGATTTTTGAAAAGTGAACACTGGATATAATATTAAATAGAGGAAAGCGAGGAGGAAAAAGACGTAATAGTTTCACTGAAGGCGTGTAAAAGAAGCAGAAAAATGTGTATGCATTTAAATATAAAAATATCAAAGAGGTGAATATATTGAATAAAAGAAAACTAGCATGATAGGAGAAGAAATTAAGAAAAGAAAAGGTTATGTGTGTGCGTTGGGTTTATAAATGTGTGCGTGTAAAATAAAGTAATAGGAAATAGGAACAAAAAATAGAAGCCAAGAAACAAAGAGGAAAAAGCAAAGAAAGAAAAAGAAAAAGAGTCTTAAGATATTAAGACATGAAGAAACCAACCAAGAAAGAAAGGACATTTTTAAAACATCTAAAAAGAAAGAAAGAGAAGCGATCAAGTTACGAAGAATGAAAAGTTGCAAGACATTTAAAAAGAAAGAAAGAAATGAAAAGGAAAAAGAGGTTTTAGAGATTAAGAATAAAAGAAAGGTGTAGAGAAAGATGAAGAAAGAAAGAAAGAAAGAAAGAAAAGAAAAGAAAACAGAAAAGAAAAGAAAAGAAAAGAAAAAGTGTAGGGAAATGTTAAAAATGAAAAAAGAAAAAAAGAAAGAAGGATATGATAAAATAGGAAAATCAAAAAATTAATATAAAGCAGATGTGAAAAGAAAGAAAACTATATAAAGAAATTATAACAGAAATGACAAAAATGATTGAAAACAATAATATACTAAAAAGAAAGAAAGAAAGAAAGAAAGAAAGAAAGAAAGAAAGAAAGAAAGAAAGCAAAAAAGCAAGAGAAAGTAAAAGTGAAAGTAAGGAAAGCGCAGTACAAGCTAATAAAGTTCGATTGAAACAGTTGAAAAAAATAATGGAAGAAAAGACCGTTAAAAGTTAATATACAAATAAAAATGCTATAAAATTTATAAGAATCAGCAAGAATTGACAAGAGTGAAAGAGAACGGGGAGGGAGAGATTTGAAAGAAACGTATAACAAAGGAAAAACCAAAAGAAATAACTGCATGATCAATTATTATCAGTCACTGTCAATATCACTATCTGACCATTAAAATAATCTGGTCACCAGGGTATCATCAGTGATCCGCTAACGTTATTAAGTGTTGTTCATAATGTATGCAGGGTATTATATAATATTGTAGTCATTATCTTTTCCTTAAAATAATTTTACAAATTTTTAATTCTTGCTACTAGGAGATGGATTTTGCGAACCTTACAGTGCAAATCGCTTTTTTCCGTTTCGGGATGTCTTATTCTTTTAAGATCAATTCTGCTATTATACTAGTTGAATTCTCGCACGAGTATTAATTGGTAGCTTTCACATGACACCAAATGACAAGTTTCTTTCTTACACAAGCATTATGCTTCGTATTATATTAATATCTGTTGTGGATTCCGTGAATGGAATCCTGCACAAATAAATAAACAACGCCAGTAATTGAGATAGAAAAATAAGTGTATTAAACGTAAGAATACAGACTTGATGTGAAGATTAGTAGTCCAGGAATGCGGGTTAGTAGAAAGTATATGTACAAGTCTCTGTAGGTAAGGCTGTAATTCTCTCTCTCTTTCTCTCTCTCTCTCTCTCTTTCTCTCTCTCTCTCTCTCTCTCTGGACTCTTGTATAACTCTCTGAGAACACCCTGTGTCTGTCTCCGTATCTCTCAACGTGTCTCAACGTATCTTCACGTATTTCAACATATCTGCACGTATCTCAACATATCTCCACGTATCTCAACGTATCTTCACGTATCTCAACATATCTTCACGTACCTCGACGTATCTCAACGTATCTGAACATATCTCCACGTATCTCAACATATCTTCACGTATCTCAACGTATCTCAACATATCTTTGCGTATCTCCGCGTATCTCCACGTATCTCAACGTATCCCAACATACCTCCACGTATCGCAACGTATCTCAACGTATCTCAACGTATCTCAACTGCAGGTATTATCTCTGTCAATATAAGTATACTTTCGACGAGTCCATCTTATGTAAAAAGGGGAGAGCCCCACAACAATATCTGTACTCAGAATTTTCTCACCTGTAGTATCTGATGGGTTTCACTGAAGATAAGCGTGGATGTTCGATATCCCTGCGTAATCCATGTATGCCTAGCACATTTTTTTCTTTAAATAGGGTCGGTAAAATGGCTTCACACTTTCTCCGATTTCCATTTTTTTTCAGTTTTTCTTCTATTTTTTGTAAGACTCTTTGGGATCTTTCGATTTCCTTTGACTGTCATCAATATTGATTTCCTTTGACAGGTACTATCATCATTATTACTTTTTTTTTTTTTAGTAAAATTCCTTACCCACCGAAACACAGGTTATAGCATTGTAATTTTAGTAAGTATATGCATTCTGTTTGCACAAATTCTGATGTTAAGTGATGCTTACCATGTAGTGCGTTTATATATATACATATATTTTTTTTTTACATTGACATTACTCTCCTGAGTAGATGCGGAATTCATTACATTGATCTTGATAACCTTCTTTTTGTATTATTATTATTTTTTTTTTTTCTTTGATTTCTGGCGTTTACACATTTCTTTCCGGGCCCCGCCCAGAGATCTCAGGTTAGAAATGGCATCATGACACTTTCCACTGACAAAAAAAAAAAAAAAATTACATAGATAAAGCCCTTCGTAAAGTGTGGGCTGTACTTGTCAGAACAATTTTTTGTATCTCCTTGAGGCATGGACTTCCAGGAATCCCTTCAATTAGTCTACTGCAATCTTTTCCAACCAGTCCTAGGGCTCCAACAACAGGATTGTTTGATGTTCCCATATGCCATTTTCAGATTTCTATTTCAAGTTCTTGTATTTTGACAGCTTTTTGAATATCTTCAAAGATACATTGCAGTCAGCAGGGACTGCCTTATCAATAAGGAGGCACCGTTTTTGTTTGTAGTCTTTAATAACAATATCTGGGCTGTTGGCCTTGATTGTTCTGTCAGTGTGCATTGTGTATTATTATTATTATTATTATTATTATTATTATTATTATTATTATATTTTATCTAATACAATCTCTTGTTGGGCATTACTCGAGACGTAGGGTAAGCATGGTAGTAAATATAAATATTCTTTTTGCACAAATTCTGATGTTATGTGATACTTAACATGTAGTGTTTATATTTTCTTTACATTGGTACTACATTCTTGAGTATGTGAGCAGTCCAAAATTTTGCTGTTTTGATTCTCTTGTAAACACGGTCTACAAAGGGATTTTGTTATTCTTGATGCTTTCCACCATTCCAATTATCTAAGATATAACATAGCTTTAAAGTGCCACTTTTTTTTTTGGTTTCAATTTTGATATCCATATATTTACATATTTTATCATATTTTAAGTGATATATCTTATCTGGTGATAAAGTATCCATATTTGTAGTCTTTATTCACTGTGTTTTATCTGTTAGCTTTTATATGTATATCAATATGAATAGTCTTTTATTCTTTCTCAAATAATATCTGTTAGTTAATGCGTTGATAAGAGATCACAATCAGCAGCCTTAGGTATCATTTAATTTTCCTCTGACTTTTCATCACTTTCCGGATGATTCTTGAAGTACCTAAGTGGCTTCCTTTCTGCAGTAATTCTACTAGGCAATTAATGCCAATTTTCTTTATCCAAGTATTCATTCTGTTAGTCATTGTGCTAAGTGCACCAGTGACAACTGGTATGATTCTGACCTTCTTCAGCTCTCAATACTTGAGAGTTCAAACTTCAATGGGTCATAGTTGATTACTTTCTCTGCTTCCTTTTGCTCCGACCTTGTATCAAAAGGGATCGATGGATCAGTGATTTACCCTTCCTTTTCTATTTTATCTTCCACCATTATTATTATTGTTATTACTATTACTGTAGTTGTTGTTGTTGTTGTTAGTTGTGGGTTTTGTTGTCGGTGTTAACCTAATGATTTTCACACCAACATTTTCCGAAAGATATTCCTGGAGATCAAGTAATAGTAAGTAAGTTTATTTAGTTAAACACTTACCTACACTAGCTAATCTCTGTAAAACTCTCTTCTGGATGCTTTAAATTGTTTCTCCAATTTTCAGTCTCTCAGGTGTACCAGAAATGATGTGCACACTCGTAACGCTCATCATGTTTTTTGTTTGTTGCCCTCTAGCAAGTTTCATACAGTATGTATGTGTAATGTATATGATTTCCAGTTGCTTATAGTTTTACTCTGAGGGTCACAGAAACATCTACTGTTATGCAAATGTTTTTTAAACTTCTTACATGGATTATTAGTATGTGCATACATACTAAATAACCAAAAATTACTAAATTTACTAAATTACTAAAATTACTAAATTACTAAAAAGTTCTTACATGGATTATTACTATGTGTTTATATACGAAATAACCAAAAATTACTAAATTACTAAAAATTACTAAATTTATTAAATTACTAAAAACATTCCCATGGTTACCTTTGAAAATCAGGTGACAGAAAGTTTCCTCTCATTTGCAACATTTTGTTCAAAGGTGTCATGCCTTTAACTTTCTCAGTTCTTTGGTTGTCAAAAACTTCCCGTCACTTTGAAGATTTAGAGCCAGTTTCGATGCCCCAGTCATTATAGATACAATCGTTAACTTCACATTAGACACATTTTACAATCTCAATGAAAAGCTTCATAGCACTCTTGCTTTTTATTCATTGAATGTTCGCACTTGTAATAACTGATGACTTAAGTGAAAAAAAAGATTCCTCGACACTCCAACACTTTCTTTAATATGCTATCAGTCCCTTGGAAGGTCTCGACTCTTCCTTTAGTTTACAGTTACTCTAGAAACTTTAATCTTTAAGAAGCACTCTGACAACGGCTGGTACGACTATCATCACCAAGTTTCACAATTTTTTCCATAGCAAAGACAGGATACTCGTCATTTCATTTCTTCTTATGTGTCCATATATATATATATATATATATATATATATATAATGTGTGTGTGTGTGTGTGTGTGTGTAATGTAAATCACTCTATCTATCTATCTATCTATCTATCTCTCTCTCTCTCTACATATATATATATATATATATATATATATAGAAAGAGAGAGAGAGATATCTATCTATCTATCTTATATATATATAAAAATAAAAGTAATTCATCGAGTCTGATAAAAATCTCAACAGAATGCACTGGACGGTCGTTTCGCCCTATATTTGGGACTCATCAGCAGTGCGCATCCACTACAGAGAATTGAAACCCTGACAGTTAGGTCGTCAAGCGAACATCACACCAACTGCTCCACCGGGCCTCGGTGACGAAGAGATTGCAAATTAGACTCAACATAGCGCCGCTCGCTCACGTTTAAACGGCCGTCCAGTGCTTTCTGCATTCTGTTGAGATTTCTCTCAGACTCGATGAATTACTTAAATATAATTATCAAATCCTCCTAATAATTTCTATAATATATATATATATATATATATATATATATATATATATATATATATATATATATATATATATATATGTGAAAAAAAACGCTAAGGTTATGTACTATACGATTTAAATTTCACAATTTAAACGTGATATATATATATATATATATATACGCTTGCATGGAGAATTGTTAGTAACCTTAGGTTTTAAGCTTTCGCGATATGTGTTTGTGTGTTTGTATTCTGAAATTTGAAATTTCAACACTTCTTTGTATACGTACGTGTGTGGATTAAATGCTTTTACGTTTTATGTGATAATGGAAGGGAAATGTAATGCATTTTCTTCATGTCATTCATCACGAACAACAAAAATGATATGCGCGGTTTGTATGGATTGTTCTATAGTTGAGAATACGGTTCGAATATTTTTGATAGTTTCAGAAGTGGAAATTAGAATCTGGAAGATATAAAGTGTTCCGACCGACGTTGGCCATAACAAAACATTGATTAAGATTAATGCAAGTCGTATAGCACAAAACGTCACAGAGATATTCGATATGCCTTGTCGTAAGGGATTTGAAAACACTT